GAGGCTGAAGAGGTCCAGGTGCCCTAGTCTCTCCTCATAGGGCTTGGCCTGCAAGCCCTTAACCATATGAGTGGCCCTTCTCTGGACCCTCTCCAGGTTCTCTACATCCCTCTTGAAGTGTGGCGCCCAAAATTGCACACAGTACTCCAACTGTGGTCTGACCAGCGCCCGATAGAGGGGAAGTATCACCTCCTTGGTTCTGTTCCTCATGCATCTGCTGATGCACGATAAAGTGCCATTAGCTTTTCTGATGACTTTGTCACACTGACGGCTCATGTTCATCTTGGAGTCCACTAGGACTCCAAGATCCCTTTCCGCTTCCGTGCCACCAAGCAGGTCATTTCCTAGGCAGTAGGTATGCTGGACATTTTTCCTCCCTAGGTGCAGCACTTTGCATTTCTCCTTGTTGAATTGCATTCTGTTGTTTTGTGCCCATATGTCCAACCTGTCCAGGTCTGCTTGTAGTTGTTCCCTGCCCTCCGGCGTGTCCACTTCCCCCCACAGTTTTGTGTCATCCACAAACTTGGACAGAGTACACTTCACTCCCTCGTCCAAGTCGCTGATGAAGATACTGAAGAGTATCGGTCCAAGGACCGAGCCCTGCGGGACCCCACTGTCCACACCCTTCCTGTATAAGGTATTCCATTTTTTGCTCCCTCCTTTCAATATCTAGGACTGCAGTAATGCTGATGGGATTTTGTAGGCAGAAATTCACAGGCTATAAGCTGTTGCTGTTTCTATTGTTTACCAATGCACTGCCTATTTAAAATGTTATTGCAAGATGTGCTGTTGATGTGCTGCCACTTCTAACATGAGACTTGGGAAGAGATAGGGCTCTGCCAAGAAACCACAGCTCCCCATCTATCCTAAAGCACATATACTAGGCAGTGATGCTCTCAAATATGCTGTACGGCCCATTCAGTCAGTCTCCTGAACGAGAAGGCATATAGGCTGCATCTGCAGACTGCTTCAGGCACTCTTTTCCTAAAGCATTGAGGAACATGGAGTTGGACAAAGTAGAGGTAAGGTCATGACTGTGTGTGTGGTGTGAAACATTGTAATATCCTTTTGGTAGGATTTCCAAAAAGGTTCAACATCAGTGTCCCAAGAATCTGTATTTCTGTCCTCTCTGTTACTGGGCTTCTTTCAGGAGTAAGGGGCCTACTTTTCCTGATCTTTATTCATTTTTATCGGAGACTTTTGCAACACCTGGTGTTTTCTCAGTGACATCCCTTTCTTCTTTCAGGGACTCCTGTGCTAAAATTGGAATCCCAGAAGGAAGTCTTCTCCCCCAGATCCTCTCCAAGCTATCCTCTTTATTTAAAGTGCTTTTTTTTTTTTTTTGCTAAAAGATTTTTCTGTACAGCTCCATTCAGCAGCTCTGCCACCAGAGTTTGAGGTGCATTTTGAGAAGGCACCATGTAAGAGCCAGGCAGTCATCAAGAGCCCTACTGCTTTCAGCAAAAAGGAAGACTGTTGCAGAGCTGTGGGTGTGGCCATAATCAAAGTTATTCCAGCATAACTTTATAGTACAAGTTAGGCCTCTGGAAGCTGCTGCTTCTATGGGAAATGAAAGAACTGTGCCTATATTCAGGGTTTGATCAATGTTTGTTCCCTTTTTTCTGTTAAAGCCATAAACTTTGTTACTGACTTTTGGAGTCATGTGAAACAGAGGACAGTGACAAAGGGAAAATACAGATTTTTTGCTTTCTTTAAAAAAAATCATTTGGCAATGTGTTTTCCAACTACACTAGTGTAGATATGTGGAGAGCAAAGAATTCTAAGTAAAGTATACACTCCTATTAATTGCCTTCCATACCTGTTTGATACAAGTCCTTTTTTCCCAAACTCTCTAATTAGTAGAAATGGAGCTGTTAAATTATGAAACCACGGGCCTGATGGGTGTGTACACATAGCTAGAAACCTTGGAAGTGGTTCTGTCCCCCAGGGTTTCCTAACGCAACTTTGTTTTTTTGGGTCTTCGTATTACTTCAGGATTGTTAATTCACATAGTATTCTTGTATTGTAGCTTTGACCCTCTCAGCAGACACAGTCCCTGCACAGACTAGTCTAGGGTTTAGTCTTTTCTATGCAACTTTGCTGGCATAGTTGTATCAGGCAGGGCAGTGATCGCTATCCCTAGCTGACACAGCTGTGTTGACAGAATTCTTGCTGAGTACACGGCTATTGTCAGGCTTTTTTTTTTTAAGCTTTTGTCATTTGTGGAAATGGGGTAGATATGGCAGTAGAAAAAATCCTTCCATCAGTACATACTACATCTCCACTAGAGGGCTCTGCTGGCATAGTTATGCCAGCCAAGCTGTAGCACCAAGAGTAGATAAACCCTAAACCTAAACCTGCCTAATGAGGGAGGCAGAGTACTGGGATTAAAGCAATGATTCTCTATTATACACAATTTAAACTTGTGGATATTTCTTTCCAGAAGCTCTGAAAGTGTACTATGTATGCCAAAAAGCAATGAAGCAGTAATTTTTTATTTTTTCTGTAAACACCAAGGTGCAGGAACTCCATGGTGGGCAGTGATGAAGATGATCTCTGTGTGAGGATGCAACTGGTAGATGGGATCTTGGATACCTTAATCACAGCTGCCATTACATTCTGAACTAGGTAAATGAAAAACTGGAAAGGCTATTGGTTGTGTAACATCCTTTACTAAACCACTGCCATATCTACACTGCCGCTGGATTTTCACATGCAGATTTCAAAGGCCACGTGGACATGATAAATGAACCTGGTTTTGCATGCCCTGCCTTGAGAGACTTCACTCAATTTGTTGTTCAAAGCTAGGAGGGTCTCTTACCGAATGCTGGCTTATGGAGTATTCATGCAGTATATAGTATAGCTGCCAGCAATTCCCCAGGTCTCAGGCTGGGGCTAGGAAATTCATGTTCTCCTCTGAAGGTGGGATTGCTGGGCTGCAATACAAGGCCAGCTGTATGGGTGGGCAATGTGGGTGACCTCCTAAGGTGCCGTGATCAGGGGGGTGCTACACACATGTGCACACACACATGTGAGCAGTCCACACTTACAGCAGGGCTCTCCCCCCACCCCACCCCGGCTAATCCCCACCCCAGGCAGGAGAAGCAATGCCCAGCTTAGCCCTCCCCTTGATTCTAGCTGCTGCTCAGGAGGAACCAGGCTGGGCACACATGGGTAGGGTGATGCCCACTCCAGTTAGCCTGTGTCTTGCTCCCACACAGCAGCTAATCCAAGGGACTTGGTATCTTTGCATTCAGTTACACTGTTCTTACCTCTTTCATATCTATTTTACTTCATTGAAGAGCAGGAGCAAAGTAAAGGCTGCTGAAATTGGAACTTAAAAAGTAAATGCAAGGATGCAAAAAGGCATGAGAGAGGAATAGTATAATTATCCTGTATTTGAGAGGGTTTTTTTTCATTGATGTTGCAGAGCCTTTTGATACACATTTTCAAAGCCTGTTTCTGGGAGGCCTGGCCTCCCTGTGTACTGTATTGTGTAGATACTAACAATAGACCAGTTTACTGTGTTTGTGTAAATAACCTGTTTACTTGGTTTGGGGCCAGTTTTAGCAAATAATCCCACATGGAGCAGCTTTGCACAGTAGACTTACTGATGCAGGGATTTTTTTTTCTGTAAAATATACCAGGGTGGTCCCTGTGTACCCCAGTGCAAATATCTTTGTTAACTGAAATATACTTTAAGAATTTAAAATCTTCAAATAAACGGATATGTATTTTAAACTTATTTTATTAATGAATCCAACTTATAAAATAACAAATTTAGCACTTAAAGTTGCATCCAATCCCCTAACTATACAAAAAGACAGATATGTATTGTCCATCAGCAGTGCTCCCTTAACCCAAATCAATGTCTGTAGGGTCTGTGTTCTTTTCATCTCTTCTTCCTTTCAATCTCTGACTGTTCCTTTTATGTTCCAGTCAGTGTTAGGCATTTGTGTTTCTTCACCTCTTATATCTTGTTTCACTGGCACAATAATTCACCCCCTCTTTCTGATTCATAAATTCAGTGTTTTCTTCCTGCTTTTTTAATGGAATCTGCTGACACCAGTATCTGCTAATTCTGAAGGTATCCAGTACACTTGGTCTTGGTAGCCTTTTGCACCTCATCCATGATGCTGTGCTTGGGATGCTGACTACTCTTTTCTAAATCTCATTATAATTGCCTTAGCTGTAACAATACTTACAGAGAGTTGTAATGTTGTTAAGGCTGGCTGGCTATCACAGCAAGAATGGAAGAATCATGATTTTGTTATTACAAACGATACAAGTCACAATTTTTAATTGGAAAAATTAACAATGACTATAAGCACATCTCAAATGCCCAGGGTGACAGTGAGGTAAGCAATTATTCTTTATTTTTTCAAATGAGAAAAAGGCAGCTAATCTGCCATGAGGACTGAATCCCTGCCAGGTTTAACAACCCCCCCCCCCCCCCCAAATAACCTTCTTTTGCTGTAGCCATTATTGAATATGTGGTTTAAATTGTTTTAAATAGAAAGTGAGCTGAGATCCAAGCATTGCACACCCAAAGAAGAATGTTTAGAAAAGGTCTTAGTTATAGTCGAGGCTTATAGTTGTCTAATCTTCCCAGTCTTTAAATCAGAGCAGTAAAGTAAATCGGAGCCTGCTGGACCAGAGTGTAATGCAGCCAGTGTTTCCTGATTAGGAAACAGAGTGTACGTGCATGTATCACTGTCCATCCTCACCCTTGAGCTATTTCCTCTTTGTAACCTGCTACTTTAGGACAAGATGCTGCTTAAAGCTCTCATTATGTCAGTGATTATGGTAGGAAGTATATGCATTTGGAATAGATTTGTGGGTGTATTTCAGGTGAAAAATTAATCTTAGATTGGTCTTTTTAAACTCTCTCCAATTGAAACATTGCCACAGCTAATTGGAAAATGACACAGTAAACTGTTGCATCACTGTTGCTGGCCCTTCCCAGGCCAGCTTGTAAATTGGCTGATGCAGTTTTATACTATCCCTTGATTTGCAAATACTTAATATCTCACCTTGGCACTGACTCTATTTACAGCCTTTCTGCAGCTCTTCTTGGCAACTCATCTCCACATCACTTAAAGCATGCAGTCCTGTTAGAAATGCTTTTAACAAGCTGCCCCACCCCTAAAATTTTTACCCAATGAAATGCTATGATTGAGCAACGACAGGCCTGGCACGTCCCAAAGACCACTTAAAATCCTTATTCTAAATGAAACTGGTTTGAAGTCTTAATTCTCATGGGCACTGCCTCACTTTCCCTGTACCCAGATGTGCAAGTGGGGCCTCCATATCCTAAAACACATTTTTGCTTTGGAGAATGCTGCAAGGCCTGGAATGTGACACTATTGAAACTTCAGAGCATCCTTCAAAGCAAGGTATTGTCCTTCATTGGCATCAGTCACAGGAGAAAAGGTGTTAGCAGCCACATGAGAGCACAGACACTGGGAGAGGACAGAGGTGGTAGGCTGGTCTGATGACGCCATTCTTTGGGAGCCCGGCCCAGAACATGGGTAGCTGGAAGCCAAGCTGGCTAGAAAAATTATATATGGGGTTGTTCATCACAAAGATTAAAGTATGTGGCTCACCCTTGAGAGCAAATCCAAACAAAACAATGCCCATGGTGGTATACACTGGGGAAGCTATAGCTATGTGAACAAACAGATGCAGTAGTTACCCATCCCATGCCTTAGATACTTCCTGTCCTGTGCAAGGTATGATGCTGCTTGGCATATGCACAGAGAAATCAGGAAAAGCTGGAGAACAGTGGTCTTAAGGGAAAGCAAATGGAGTTACTTGAGAAGAGGCCTGGGGATTATGTGGGGATAGCTGAGGGTAGGGGACAGTGAGGGAAAGTAACATCTGATGAAAGAAGTCTTCTCTTGTCCAACAGCTCAGAAGTAATCTTGTTAGACTTGTAAAGGAGGGGCCAGTTTGTTTCCCATCCTAGACGTTAATCTCCTCCTAGAATTTCTTTGTGGGTCTCTAAATTTTGGACCTTCTGTTCTGCCAGTTGTATGTTCTCCCACTGAAATCAGTTGTGTGTATCTCATGCCAGCAGGCTGGATCTTGAGTTTGAATTGTCTGGTGGTGAAAGGGGTGGACTTTCAGCTTGGGTTACTTGGTAACTAGAGTCAATCTAAATATTTTACATAAATCTGTTAACTCTGAAATAAATTTGGTTTAAGGAGCAAAGAAAACATGACTGCCATGACAAACAACATCACCGTAGCTGTCATCTACTGTGATGTGCCTTGCACCTTATGTCCCACTAACCATTTTGTCAAAAAACCCTGGTCCCACCATGATAAAAACAAAACCCCACTTTTTCCAAGAAGTGTATTTTTACATTTACATACATTTTAGTATTATATTGATCATTAATAGAATTTTTTTAATGAGT